TGATTTTTTAGCATAAGTTTAGAATAAAGAAATAAAAAAAAGATTTCTGTCCAATATATATATATATATATATATTTGTCTTTTTAATATTTATATAATTAGGACTGAAACAAATCTTTTTATTTTTCTGTTAGATGCAATGTATATTTTTTTTACAAGAATTTTTTTCCAACGTATTCTTTGAGTACGTATCAATTGTGTTTTAACAGAATGAAGTATACATATAACAATAATTTTGCAATGGAAATGATTATTTATATTTTCGTGTATATCGCATTAGTTTTCTATTCGAGTTTATACGAGACGAACAAATTATTTATCTTTTTTCCTTTTCTTTCTATTCGTATATTTTATTATTATTCGCAAGAGATCGTCAAAATAATTCTGAATATAAATCAAATATAATAAATAATTCGAGGATAAAATGAGAATAGAAATAGTAGGTCGTCGAAATTGAAATAATTAATCGATCGTTATCGTAACTATCGATTATTGCACGTTGGGGGAATAATTTACGCGTTTATTAAGATTATTCTTTATCTTCCTTCCTTCCTTTCTTTCTTTATTTATTTATTTATTTCTATCATATGAAGAAAACGAAGCAACACCAGTTACAAGTTTCGATCGTTAACGCTTTTGAATTATTGCGTTGAAAGGTAATAATCGATGCGATGAAAGCATGCTTCGTATACTAGCATAAGCTTAACTTACTACTATCTAACATAAGTTCGATTACGAACTAGGAAAAATTCATTTTATGAGATTTTATTAAACTCTATTTCTCGATCTACGATAATTGTTATTCATTAATTTTCTTTTTTTTTTATTATTATTGTTAATATTATCATCGACAATTCTATCGTGAGAACAAATCATTTCAATCGAGACAGGGTTTCATTCTTTTTTTATCAGATATTTTTATTATTTTTTTATGTTAGGCTTAAAACTTTTCAATCTATCCAGGTACATGACACTCCTTTGCAAATTATAAACAAATTAGAAATAAAATATAATATACATATATA